GGTATGTGCAACAGCTGCCTCATGACAGGGAAGCACATATTGGACAACACAACATTCTACATAGCCTAATCCTGGCCAATGCTAACTAATTTACTGCAAGTGATAATTTAACTCGTTGCCTCATTACAATGGTAAACGTTTAAAACCATCTCTGTTTTTACAAGTTTAAGATATTGTTCACATATTGAGTGCATAGAAAACTTCTGAACCGTCTGAGGACACTGCTCCCAGTTTGTGATTTAAAGCCAAAATGTCAAATTTGGTAAAAAAAAGTAAATATAAATATAAATTGGTAAAAGTAATATGTCCTATTCACATCCTTCACAGTACGTGTGGAAGCAGAGGGGGAGAGTGGGCAAACAGGAGGAATGAACAGCCAGCACATAACAAAGTGTGTTTATCAACTCGCCTCCTCTGGCTGTTGCCTGGATCAAGGCTGTGTGCACTATACATTATTTAACAGCTCTATTTGTTACACCACATTGCTTTGTATACAATGTATATATGTTTACAGTGGAAGGGATTCTTCTACTAACCCATACATACATTCATGCAAGCACACTTGTACAATTACTTGAATTCTAGAGCTAATAAAAGTCTAGAGCAGCCTCTTAACAACAGTCAAAATAACTACTGTTCAACTACCAATGAATACCTGAGGAATAATCCTGAGCAAAAGATATACATTTCTCTTGACTCTTCACCCAGCTGCACACTCACATGAGTTGCTTGAATCACTATGTCACAGATACATTTACATTCTGCATTTCTACCTGAACTGTATTCACCAGAAAATACATTGAGTGTAGATTCTCCAGAACAAATGGTCTAAATGCATTTTGTGTAAATGTATTACAAAGTAAGATGAACAAGATACAGTACACTTTAGCTCAATGGTGTGATTTTAATTATGAGAATTTATCTTACATGGTTTGTTGGGTGAGTTGAGAGCTAGAATTGAACAAACTTCCAGAGGAGATGGTCCAGAGTGTGGGTCAAATGTATAGGACAGATTTCCCCAACACTGGACAATAATAATAATAATAATTAAATAATTTGTATTTTAAATAATTAAAATACACCTATAAATACAATTCTAGGCTGGTTCAGGTACTTCTGTTGCATTGTGTACTTATTACAAACATCCATCCATCCATCCATTTTCTTCCACTTCATCCGTTGCCGGGTCGCGGGGGCAGCAATCTAAGCAGAGACGCCCAGACTTCCCTATCCACACACACTTCCTCCAGCTCGTCCGGGGGGACCCCAAGGCGTTCCCAGGCCAGCTGAGAGACATAGTCCCTCCAGCGTGTCCTGGGTCTTCCCTGGGGCCTCCTTCCGGTGGGACGTGCCCGGAACACCTCCCCAGGGAGGCGTCCAGGAGGCATCCGGAACAGATGCCCGAGCCACCTCAACTGGTTCCTCTTGACGTTGAGAAGCAGCGGCTCTACTCCGAGCTCCTCCCGTGTGACTGAGCTCCTCACCCTATCTCTAAGGGAGCGCCCAGCCACTCTGCGGAGGAAGCTCATTTCGACCGCTTGTATCCGCGATCTCGTTCTTTCGGTCACTACCCAAAGTTCATGACCATAGGTGAGGGAGGGAACGAAGATTGACCGGTAAATCGAGAGCTTTGCCTTTCGCCTCAGCTCCCTCTTTACCACAACGGTCCGATACAGCGACCGCATCACTGCGCACGCTGCACCGATCCGCCTGTCAATCTCACGCTCCATCCTTCCCTCACTCGTGAACAAGACCCCGAGATACTTGAACTCCTCCACTTGAGGAAGGACCTCTCCACCCACCCGGAGAGGGCAAGGCACCTTTTTCCATTTTACAAACAGAGCCTTGCAATATGTTTATTTCAGTGACTTCAATAGCTGAACAACCACTTATAATTGGCGACAGTAGCTCAGTTGGTAGAGCATTGGCCTTTGAACCGAGGGTCGAGCCCGACCTTCACCATCAACTCCCACTGTCTGCTGTCGTTGTGTCCTTGGCAAGACACTTAACCTCTGGGAACAGCAGCCACAGTGGGGCGGCTGCGGCTGTAAAGTGCCAAACTGCTGTTGTGTCCTTAGGCAAGACACTTCACCCCCATTGCCTAGAATGAGTCTGGTGTGTGAATGGTTGGTGGTGGTCGGAGGGGCCGATGGCACATACTGGTTGCCTCGCTTCTGTCAGTGTGCCCCAGGGCAGCTGTGGCTACAGAAGTAGTTTATCACCACCGTGTAGAGAGTGAATGAATAATGATGCATTATTATTATTATAATTTAGAAAAGTAATCTTTATTTAAATAGCTCCTTTAACTGACAGTCAGAAATGTATGTTTAATTTTGTGGGCATTTATTCCTTTGATGGATGCTACCTGAAGGAAACCTACGTAGACACAGAGAGAACATACAAATTCCACACAGAAAGGCCCTGTCTGGAGGTGGAATTGAACCCAGGACCTAATAGCTGTGAAGCCCAGTCGTATGCACCAGTCGCAGTGATTTGAATATAAAAGAGCAATAACATTCCGGATTTCTTATGAAGGGACTTAAAGCCCTAATGATCAAGCAAACTAGCAACACAATTAATCTTACCACAATTTATTCACATCTATGTACTTACTCCGTTTGACAATTCATTAAAGACCTGCATAATGGCCCTTTATAGTCGTTCACATTTTAGTGATTTTAATATACAGCAGCTGCTCTTATTGCACCGAGAGGAGGACAAACAAAGTGATCAGACTGAAGGAGGTTGTCAAGGAGACAATTCTTCTGGTTCTCGCTTCTCATCCATTCTTCTTCTTGTTTTCTAATCAGAATACAAATGTGGGGTGAATCTTGTGCAGCCGTTGAGTTGTTTATTGACAGCACGAGCACAAATACCATGTTTGGTGTGGTTCATCGTCACTGTCATCTTGGTGCTTCTGTAATTCCCATTCATTAGTAACTGGTTACGGTGTCTAAAGCTATTCGGTTTAAACATAGTAGGAAGCAATTCCCTCAAAGCAGTTCCTTTCAGTGTTCATGTATGTTTATCCATTTATTATTCCATGTTAAGCACAGATTATATTATGTTTTATCTGCCAACAGGTTTTAATCAAAATTATTTTCAAACACTAATTCAAATAATGTAGATTTCATTTAAAAACTGTATTGACTTCTTATATTGCAGTTGTTATTAAAATGATTTACTGATGGTTGTTTTAGGCCTTTTCTTGTTGTAAATGTATTATGTTATTATGCTCAGGTGAATAAAAAAATCTATTTAAACCATATTGATTAAAGACACCTAATTTAGCACACAGTATATATCCCACTGGGAATTGACACTAGATCGTTGAACAATAATCAATCTCAATTATAACATTGTTCAAAAGTCTATTCATTTTACAAAACTAATTTATGACTAAAATGGACTTTTTCCAAGTTTCACCTGTCGTAATGTAATCCTCACTCGCCGCGTGTGAGAAACCTACTACATCCACTGGATATCGGAGTTGCTTCATTTTGAGAGCAGGTGCGGCTAAAACTTTTTGGTAAACTATTCTGCAATAAACACATTAAGACCCTTATTGTCCGAGATCCCTGAAGACTCCCCAAACCCAAGAGCCCTCGCCCGCTGTAATGGTGGAAGACACATGCTTTTGCTGAGGCATACTTAATGAAGAGCAAACGCTGCTTGCAGCTTTCAGCCCACATTCATCATAGATTCAATTTCCCCCATGCACAAGGTACAGGGAGTATCTGGAATCATTACAACACAACTAGGAGGCATCCCCTGCTCATAAATAAGCCTGTTAATTGACCTGTCATAGCTAATTGCTGCAGGGGATAGGAGACTAGTGTGGGTTAAAAAAATACATTTTGTGTGTATGCATGTCTGTGTATATTGTTACTTTAGATGGATATGTGTAATGGGATTTTAGAACTTGGAAATTATGGATGAGCTTGAAGATAAATACTACCAAAGTTTTTTTTCTTTTATCTTATTCTGTTCAGCACTTTGAGTTGCCTTGTGTATGAATTGTACTATCCAAATAAACTTGCTTTGCCATTATTTTCAATGAAATAGTGAAAAGTAGTGTATACAGTGGTCTTACAAGGCAAACGGACAGAATAGTAGAAAAGAAAACAAAAACACATTCTGTACATTCATTATTCTCATTACTAGTATTATTTAAAACAGGAAAGTCCCGTTGAGATTTCAATATCTTTTTCAGTAGAATCCTGGCCCCAGAGAGAGGAGACGGAAGTGGGGCGCGGGAGGGTACAGCGGCGCAATTGTACATGCTGATAATGACAGCAGTAACTGGAGCACCTGGAGGAAAACTACGCAGACACAGGGAGAAAATACAAACACCACACAGAAAGAGAGAACATGCAAACACCATACAGATAGACCTTGTTTGGAGGTGGGATCAAACCAAGGACCCTCTTACAAAGAACCACAAGTGAGAACCACTGCGCCTATTGATAAATACCTTCTACTTCTTTTCTATTACACTCACAAAACTCAGCTATAATCTATTAGAATGAGCAAACTACAACTATAAGGGTGCCAGAGAGAGACCAGACTTTTTATGATTGATCACAAATTGATATATAGCAGGCGGAGCTCTCCTACATCACTGAGGAAGAGTCAAACCACCACCAGTAATCTGACACCCGGGCAGTGACTGAGCGCTGGTGACAAAAGTGAAAAAATAAATAAATGGTTATGTTTAATTTGTTTCCAAGAATGATGCTGCTCTGTAAATAAGGATGTTTTTCAGTCACACACTTTTCAAGCCATTCCAGCGTGTAATTTCTCAGATTCGGGGGATATGATTGTTGCCGACATCTGGCAAAATATGAACTGAATCTACATTTCAATACACTCATCTATCAAGAGTTCTGCTGCTAATGAAACACTGGAATACTTTTATGTGTTATTAACTTATCCACACAAACAATGAAACAAGACTTCTTACACAAAACAAATCCAAACTTCATTATAATCATTGTTACCTGAAAAGGTCCACTGGGGCTAATGTCAAAGAAGGCCTTCCTCCAGTCTGGGCCTTGGTGACCAGACTTGGACCATAGCAGTGTGTCCACCGACGCAATACTCCGGACTCGAAGAAGAACATTCAGAGCTCCTACAAGAAGAGAACATTTAAGTGCAAGCCAAAAGATTATCTAAATGTTAACAGTTATGTAATTTGTTTTTAGTGGTATTTTTTTCCCTAATGTTCTGTTATGTTATCTGCAACACTGGTATAAATATCTTCTCTTAAAGCTGACCTTACCGGACATTTAAACCACATAACAATCAAACTATGAAATGAAATCCATAGATCCCCGCTCTCAAAACAGTTTGGTCCAATCACTTGTTTTTTGCATGTACTTTTGGCTTCTGTCACATCTTAAGATCAGTTTTTTACAGGCAAAAAAGGTGAAAAAGAAAGGACCACCCTTACTTAGCCAATCAGCTCCCGGGCCCAATCATAATGTGGTATTAAAGACACAAAAGTTGGTACCCCAGCTTTGAGTATCTATTTTACAAGTGAATAACATTTTTAGACCCACAATGGACATGTTTTTGAAGTCACCGAGCTGCTATGGCATATGTACATTTTAGTATATAAGCTTTCTTGAATAACTTTCATAAAGCAGTCAGTGATGAGTAATAGCCACAGAGGCAGACAGGAGCATGTGCTGGGAGCCGTCGTGAAGAGATTGGCTCTCTAACAGATCTCTAAGGTGAGAGCATGCATTTGTCTTGTTAACGATCCTCAGCCTGAGCCTAATTGGAACATTAGCCAACCGCCGCTCTCTTAAACAAATACAACTGCACTCGCACTAATATGATGTGTTCATAATATCTGTGCACTGAGCATTCGCCATCCAACAGTTGCTTACACAAACTTCTATTGATTACATGTTGTACATAATAGATCAGGAATGTGGTTGGCTGTAAATGAAAATGCATCATGCTGTGGTCATGATGTTACTGCCTGGAATTTGTCCAATGTATTGCCGTAATCTCCCAGTGAACGATATATCAACACTATTATTATGTCTTTTACAGTATCTGTTGTTGTGGTTATTAAAGGTTATATGTAAATGTTGTTGATATGGACAGGTGGTGGCAACACTGTTTTAACCTGCATGTGACCAACACTATATCTTTCATGTAAGAAAGTTGTACATTAGTGGCACCCGTGTGCACTTTACCCCTCAACAGCCCACCCACGAAGCAGCTGGCTGGGTAAGAGTGAAGCAGGCCTTAATAAGAAGCCTATTGATTGGGCAGTAGTACAACACAATATGTTGGTGAGAGTGTCCATGAGGTCAGGCCCAAGGTACAGCACCATCACACAGTATGCACACAGGAGCATCTTTAGGGCTTCAAGCAACATGATCAGAAATATATGAACCAAAAATGCAAAATATATTTGATTAAAACCCCTGTGGTTACAATGAGCCTCTAAATAAGACACAAACTCATCAGAACATTAAATAACTAAATTTAAATGTGTATGTAAACGTAAGTAAGTAATGTTTATTTATATAGCGCATTTTACAGACCAAGGTCATGAGCGCTTTACAATGTTCAGAGTTCAGATATTGTTGCAATCATTCCACACAGGGTGATGACAGGAGTGAGACCCCGAACACACTCCAATCAACACCATCCATCCATTGTACATAATTATTGTCACTTTATTGTACATATATCCTGCATGTAACATGTTTGCACGTTTCCTCCCTTTGCACAATCTGAGTGTCTCTATCCATGCCAAATGTGACATGTAAATTTCTCCTCTGTGAGATAAATAAAGCAATCTTATCTTATCTTATTCACTCTCTCATTTACATTCATACCTATTGTGCATGTTCTAGTGCTAGAGAAAACCGTAGCACCCGGAGGAAACCTAAGCAGACACGGGGAGAACATGCAACAGAAAGGCCCTGTTCCGATTGGGATTCAAACCTGAATCCGATTGCTGAGAAGCAAGAGTGCTACCCACTCAGCCACCCAAAGTGCCGCCCAAAGTCTGTACCTGTCATTATCAGCAGCCACCTTTTTAGTTGTCTAGATATTTTGGGAGAGGTGTTGTGCTGTATAGGCTCGCAGTTCATTTGAGACTGTTATATATATAACAGTTTGAAACCTGTTATAATTATTCTATTGGAGATGGACATAGTCCAGGAGCCTTGGACTGTGACTGTGCCAATGACTGCGTGCAACCATGAGGTTATTGAACAAATACCAACCAATGCCAGATAAAAGCACCATCAAATGTCTCTTTTATGGCCGCCAGACAACATCAGTAAAGAAATGGAAAGAAAAATAATAATAGTAAGAAGTAACAATAAACATGACATCATTTTGATGGTGTAAGTGTGCTTTGTCTTCTGCCCGGTGTTTTATGTCCTGGCACATTCTCTGCAAATCCTCAGCTTCAGTTCCCCGGTTCCTCTTGGCCTCTTCATTAACCCCATGTGTTTACTCTTAAAGTGCAGGCTGCAGAACTTCCACCTGCCCCTCTGTTCTCCGATTGTGTCTCTTTGCGTCATTAGGAGTCTTCCTGCGTTTCTCCGGCCCAAGTGTGAGATGTGCCAAAGTAAAGCAATTAACGAGATGGCAGATTGGAGCAGACTGAAAAAACAGACTGATTTAACTAATGCTGTGATACTGGTGTTGTATGGTTTAAAGGAAACAAAAAGTACCAACTTGAAAAATATATTGAAAGATCTGTGTAAAGATAAATGTTTTGGTCAACATAAAATGTGTTGCTCTAAAGTCAATTCATTGTTGTAATTCAACTTAAAAAGATAAAGCATTATAACCATTTGTTAGAATATTGATAATTGTGGCTCACAGCTTGTAAAAACCCCAAATAATATAATGGACTGCAATAATATATTAACATATATAATAATAATCAAAATAATAACAAAAGGCTTTGCATATGTTACTTTGGGAGTTTGTATTGCACAGTGAATGACCCTGCTTGAAAGAGATAGATAGACGACAGACGGATACAGACAGATAAACAGACAGATAGACAAACATACAGATACAGACAGACAGACAGACAAACATACAAATAGATACAGATAGACAAACAGACAGACTCCATTGCGAAAAATAATGAACCAATCAGGATCGTCGGTGTAACAGTGCCTCTGCCGTTCATGATGTAATGCAAACAGCTTAAGCAAACCAAAATGGCGTTTGTGAGTTGCTTAAAAAGTGCAAATATGAACAAATTAAGACACAGATGTCACTTTTAATGGTATTTGAGGCGAGATGCTGATGGTTCCATGTTGTTATATGTGGGTTTTAAGAGTCAAATTTTTGTATAAAGTTTGGTTTGAGTAGTAACTCCATCCATCCATTTTCTTCCCCTTATTCCATTTCTGGGTCGGGGGGGTGGCAGTCAGAGCTGCACCCAGTACACAGAGCACCAGCCCCTCACTGATCCTCCTGCAGGTGGTGAGTCCACAGGAGTAGTAACTGCTCCTGTCAAACTACACTAGAGTCGTGTGCTTCGATGTGAGTGGTTGAAGTAGCACATTATTCAAGATAACGGATTTTTTGTACAAATAATTGTATCCCAGACCCTTGTTTGAAGCATAGCAAACTACAAGGATCTGGTGAGAGTCAGGCTAGTATTAACCAAAGATATCTCAGATAATGCATCCTGCTTATATGACAAGCCTATTTTTCTACACAAGGTTAGAAGTGACCACACCTCCTATAGCCACATAGTATATGCTGGGCCACTGTACTCACTGCTTGTGTGTGCAGGTGCGGACTACAAGATGTATGCATTCTCGCGGTGTGACAGAACATATTATGATGAACAGCACCCCCCAATGACTGATTGTGTCTTGCCAATGTCATAAATCACACACCCACTGCCCCCTCCGAGCACCAGGCACCAGCAGAGATCCAACTTTGGTAATGCTCCTGTGCTCTCTGTGTTCTCCTCTTACACTGTACATTTGTGTAGAAGTGCGGAGGATCTGTTCGAGCAATGCAACAATGCAATGCAAAATGGGTTCATATTTGCTTAGTTTGACTTAAAGCTTTGGTACCAAACTTTTAAACTGGAATCTATTTCATAAAATTCATCAAACTACTGAAGTTTCCAAAACAGTGTGTTTCTATCACTAGTTCATGTTCACTCAAATGTATTTTTGTCATATTCTTTTCACATTTTTAGATCAGAAAAATTAAAAAGAGAGTACCACCTTCACTTATCAGCTCTCAGCCCAAAGTCTCAAATAATGTTAATTAATAATGAATATTTTTTTGTTTTTTCAATAAGATAAAGACTATTGTGGTTTGATTTGTTAAAACAATTTACTTTCTATTGTGTTGTCCCTTTATACATTTTATATATATTGGGACAAAACTGTATTAGTAATGTAAAACAATATTTGATAACAGCAAGAAATCAAACTGTTTTTTCAAGAACGGTAAAAATCTTCATACTCAAGATAGAAACTTGGAAAATTTTAAAACTTTTGAAATTCTGGCCAAATCATCCATTACTTAGAAACGGTCAAATACATTATCTAAATTAAGATTAACAATACAACCCAATACAAAGAAATGTAATGCATGGAGTAAAAACAGTCCTCAGGTTTCCTTTGACATTGTGAGGACCCTTTTTCCTTTTTCCTTTTTGGCTAATCACTATGGCAACAGTCCTCATTTGTCATCATTACAAAACCCGCGTATAGAACGGGTCCAAAACCCCAACTGTACCAGGAGTAAGTAGATGTGCCATTGTCTAATTTCAACATGTCTGGAGGGGAACAGGGCAAAGTTTTGTAGGTTTTATTATTTTTGTGAGAACTTCCATTGCTTACCTATGTGTTTGCCCTTCATGTGGTAGTAGAAGGACACGCAGTATGGGACGCGGCCAGAACCCTTGGGGCCCCTGACAGAGGTTACATTAAAAAGTGGTGACAGAAGACGGGCTTTGTCCCCTTGTACTCTGGGGCGCGACGCTTCGATGTACATGTAGTAGCCTGGAAACAAAAGAAGACACTTTAGTTATCTGTGCCAGAGGAGGCTGAGGCTTGAACATAGAAAAGAACAAAGTGTAATATCCACTATTTTTATTATGTGGCTGCAAGGTATATTCCAAACTAGCCATGTGAAATGTCGCCATTAACTAAAAAGGTATAAGAATGAAATTAAAATCTTTTAGTCAGTTAATATCAAATGTGAATGCTGTTTGCCAAGTATCATTATTATTATTGCCGTGGTAATACATTTTTTAGTACTTCTTATTATTCATGAATACAGAGCTCTTTACACTATACTATACTTTTACATTCATTACTATTATTATGACTGCTAATATCCCCCTCCCCTACTTTCTCTCTCTCTCTGGTGGGAATAAAATAGAAAATAATAACTTTGCTATTCCCACAGGAAACATGAATACATCTTTTTCCCCAAATTTACAACTAACTCGCACAATCATGGACACACACGGCACACACTCAAATAGAAACACTTGCATAAACAGTAGTTAGACTGTCCCTTGTGCGTTCTCTGTTCTCCATCACATTTCTTATATTAGTAAAAACACATTGGAGTGACAAGTTACCCTCTTTGGTACCGCTGCGGTCCGTCTCTGGGCCGGTATTAGCTGAACGTTTGGGATTCTGGGTCAGGTGGTTCTGTCTCGTCCAATCAAACACATCGCTCCGGTCCTGAGAGAAGCCGCATATACGCTCATCTTCGAAACCGCAAACATGATCTGAAACCACAAAAACAAGACTTTTATCAATGTAGAATGTGAAGAATATCTTAGGAATGTTCAAAGGAAGGCATTGGGAACACAGACTAACTATTGAGATCATTTCACAGTGTCATCCAGCCAACTTCAACTCCATCAATATAGTCAGGTTATACCGCGTTGTAAAGTTTAGATGCTTTGGAATCCAGCTGTTTATTTGTTCATACATATTATGGGTTAGGAATAGGGTTGAGATTGGGTCACAAAGTTCCATACATTGCGCAAAGATGTGAATGAATATGGGCATATCCAGTTAAAACAGTTTTTTACAATCCACAATGTCAACCTCGCAAGTCGGGTTTACTAAAGTGGCATTCTTTCTAAAAATGGAATGCCAAATTACACTTAGAGCAATGAAAAAAGCACATTACTAGTCTCGTAGTTATGTATGGACATTTATCAACATTCATGGACATTGGTCTCTCCCTATGGACCAATACATACGTATATTTTTTGTGTCTTAATTTAACTGTTGATTCTTTGATCTGTGTTGGTGATTTCAATGGTTTTTTTAAGTCCTCTGAGATGACTACTGTTGTGATTTAGGGCTATACAAGAATAAATCGTTGTTGCGTAATTGTACAAGACTGTTATTATGTAGTTAGTAAAGTGCTTTTTTCCATTGCTCTAAGTGTAGCCTTTTGAACACACAATGTGGTTGCTCTCATCACTGCTGCCACCTTTTCTTCAGCCCATCTGGAGAGTTCTGGGATTGTCAGACACTAACATGATAATCGACTCAAGGGAGCAATCTTGAACAACTTGATCCCTGAAGTTTCTGGACTTACACGTCTCCAATAGAGTGTTGCAGATGCTTATGGCCACTTCTCCCCAAGAGGACAGGGCAATGTGCTTGTTAAGCAGACCTAATGTATTACCATTCACATGCCGTTCCAATACATGCACTGCTTTCAATTTGCACTGTTGTTTTCACAGTCTGTTCCAATCTGTTGTTGTTTTAATTGCCTCACCCAGACGAGCCGACTGTCATCCCTGCCAGAAAAGGCTGTGTATCTCTTAATGAAGAAGATAGACAAGATGCAATTGAGTAACGAAGAAGAGATGGTGAGGCAGGCAATGCACGGATGGAATAGAGTAAGAGCTCAGATGGACACTGACAGTACTGACATACAAAAGAAAGTCGAGACAGAAGTGTTTCTATAGCCATAGAAAGAAGAGCTTTCGAATGTTATGTGAAGGCAGTCTACATAAAATATCTCAAAGCTCTCTTCCATCCATGTGTCCTTAACCAGTCTCCTGTCATCCAATTATGACCACTCTTTCATGACATTTAAAATGTCATGGGCAAGCTTCTTCACACATCCTGCCCCAGCTTTGCTCTCTCCAGTCTGCTCCATAGCAACCAGATTTAATCAAAATCAAAGCTGGGTCACGGCAAAGTTTTCCTTCTCACTTAGTTGTGTTCATGCTATTTGAAAGATGTGCACTCAATTAGCATTGAAATTAAATCAGAGGTAATTTCCTTTGAATGCAGTTGGAATGCGACAAAGGCTGAATCTTACCTGAAGGTCTTGGGTATGTGTAGGCTAGAAAATAAACAGATAATAATAAGAATCCATTGCAATTTTTGTTTTTTAATCGAAATGAGAAAGCACTCACGTTCTGAATACTGAATGATGCGGCTGATGTATTCGCCTGTGCTGTAAGTGGTGATGGGGGCCAGGCGCACCTCGTAGAACAGAGGGATCTTCAGGTCTGTGATGGTGTACGACAGCAGCACACCTTTCTCTGGCTCTTTTCCTTTCAGATCAATCTGCTTGGACAGAAGGTTCTGCTTGTTCTACATTGGAACACAAACACATAAAGTCAACCAATAAACCACATTAAAGACAAGGTGAAAGAGCTATAAAACTAAACTGATAATGACAGAAACCAATAATGTTGACCATTTTTATGATCATTTGTGCCCATAAGCAGCATATAGAAATGTATGGTGTAAAAACAATCATCTATCTATCCGTAATACAAGGAATCTCTGTCTGTCGGTTTGTCTGATGAAGTACATTCCTCGCAGAGACATTTTACAATCAACCTGATCTTCTATAAATTAAACGGCCAGTTACAGACAATCACTAGTGACTAACAAAAAAAAAAGAATCTTCATAGACAATTCTTTACTACCACCTGCAGATCAAACAGACGTTGCATGCTCGCTTCAGACAAAGAAAAAAAAAAAATCTGAGCTTTGTTTTTACTGAAATTCTGACACATTAAACCACTCAGATCAAAAACACTTTGAGTTGGCATTCACTTGAAAACATTTCTTTATGGGTAAGAGACAGAGACAAATACACGTTTGTTGACATTGACAAACTTAAGCTCCCACTATAGGAATACATGTTTCCTATGAGCACTATAGCACCTGTGTGTCTGTCTGTAACTCGCAAACCTCGCTGACAGTCAGTTTGACCTGTGCTTTTTGGACCTGGCTGTGAGGCAAGAACAGACCGCCATGTTCACGGAGCTCATAAACATCTCTGCTCAGGTACAAACTGTCACTATTCAATTTGGTGTGCCTGTAAAACACATGGGTGACTGGGCAGCAGATGCTTTTGTTACTCAGTACTGTACATGTCCCTATTTTGCTTCACAGGCACTGCACTAGTACTGCTATAGAGAGGTATGGTGAATATTTTTGTCTGTTGCATTTCTAATGGAGATTTGGTTGTGTTATCCCATCCACAGAGAGGGGGATCCATTAGCTGTGTATCTGTGTGTGATCCCAGCTACTTAAAGACCCGGCAGTGAACTCAATCTAATGCATTCGGTCAGGCCCTCCACACACAACTCTGTACTCCCACAGAACACCATTATCTACTAATGTATGCCTGGTTGGATACGCCGCACAGGAATTATGACTGTTTCTGTGCTTAACCGTGCTCACGCGTGGGACATGAATAGAATTTGGTTTTAGCCTGTTTAGCGTGTACAAAGGAAAATTCTGAAAAAAAGCGTTCAATTATTTTCTATTGAATAATGCTTGGATTTTAGACTTGCTTCCTTAATACGCTAAAGCTAGAGATGTTATACTTCTTTATTATACTAAAGATAGAGATTTTATTTCATTTGAATATGGCGTGTTGTGTGTTCATTCCTACTGTTCTGTAACTGGTGATGCCAAAATGGAAATGTACAAATAAAGGATTTCTTAATCTTAATCTCTTAAGTTTTCATAACCTTTAACATGTTTGCACACTTCTGTCTTTTGCACATTCTGAGTGATTCTATCTATGCCAAATGTGACATGTACATTTCTCGAGTGTGAGATCAATAAAGTCTTGTCTTACAATGTATCTCCATGGAGACATGCAAACCAAGCCATGTTACAGTTCAGATTTGAGGGTCACGGGAAAAAATCAGGGCATTTTGAGTATTATCATCCGCACAGAGACAGGCAGATGGCAAACCACCCACTGGAAAAGTTACATTTTGTGATACAGTATTGCTGTGCGTGTATTGTCGATCAGTTTGTTCTAAAACTATGGGGACGTTTTAGAGCTCGGTGTTTGCTTGTTTAACTGTGAAAAGACACAACTTTCCGCAAAACTTGTAACTTAGTCAAATTTAGTCACATGCTTGTTTCTAATGTAAAATTAAAGACTATTGACAAACTGAAAAAATCCAGGCCAAACAAAAACATTTAGATAGACCTGTGCAAAAATTGGGCTTCCACCAGGACATTTGAGGAACACAATTACATATTTCTGTTTGAACAATGTGGCTGTTCTATTGTGGACTACCTTGATACCACCACATTGCTGTGTATTTAGCTTCATCTGTGCTGTCCTGTAATGTTGACAAAACGCTGCCTTACGCTGACATTCAAACCATAAGCTGTAATTGCCATTGATTGTCCTCTCTCGTCTGCAGCGATCATCTGTATTGACAGGACCACAGCGCCTCTCCATGTGGCTGCCAACTGTCGACTATGTTTGGTTTATCTCCAAAGACCGTTGGAGCCCGACACCAGAGCTGGCAGCACACACAACCACATCCTTCCCGACTCACCAGGCTCTATGCCACTGATAGTTTTTTGGTTTTTTTTGCCATTGGTTTTACTTGTCTCATTGGCAGTCTATTTGAGTGCTCCTCCTTGCACTAGTTGTTAAACATCCTTGTCACTCTTTGGATATTTTTAAGAATAATATTCACAGGGTGCCTGGATTGGATTTTGCTTTTTTTTTAAAGTTAGTTTTCTCATATGTGCAGTGCTGTGTGAATGTTTGCAAAATATGCAATACAAATGAAGAAAACCGGTGCTTGGATTTAGTTTGAGTTTAGCTCAAGCAAGTGAAAAATGGGAACTTTCATGTCCGTATAAACATTTACACACGACTAAGAGTGTGGATGAAAAGTGAATAATAATGAGGAGTGTATCAGCATGGAGTGGCTGAGCTTATGTAATATGGATAGTGTTTGTGAAGCAGGATCTCAGCAAACTCGCAGAATTAGGCCTGGAAAGCAAAAAAAACAACAACAAAAACCTGCAAAGTTTCTGCGGCATTTCTAGTAGTTAAAAATATACTGTATATCCCACTGATTTTTCCTTTGATGTGTTGAATGAATAAAAAGCAGTTTGTGAGTAAAATAATTTACTCATAATTGCATTCAGTATAATGCAAAGTCTCTCAATCCAAAAATGCTGAGGTATGTACTATACAATATTGAGACAAATATGGCATAGCTTATTTTTTTAGTGTCAAACATTAAAATCATGTTCACTAAATTTGTGATTTGTGTTTGTCTTGATCAATTTGGTTGGTCCTAATCAATGTTACTTAAGTTTAATTAAATCCTATATGATTAAAACCTATAGGTATAATGAAAATAGCGGGTAGACACTCATGGCACTTTGTATACCATTCTAATTCTCCCCATGTTATGTTACAGTGGTGCAGTGTTTGCATATTCTCCTCATGTCTGCACAGGTTTCCTTCAGTTGCTCTACTTTCCCCTACCACTACCTACCACATTTACAATAGTGCCCCAAGACAACCACTCCCGCCCCCTCTATCTGGAGTCAAGACTGCCCTGAAAAAGAGAATCTGCAATCTAAGTGCGATTTTCCTGGTTAAATAAAGGTCAATAGATGAGAATAAATAAAAAAACTGTGCTACAAATACACTTTTATTGATTGTTTACTTTTTTACTGGCATGCGTATTGCTTTAATCAAATTTGTCGTGAACAGACTTGTGTTGTCACCAAATGTCTAAACTACTAAATTGTCCAACTTGATGAACCTTATGCAAGTCCTATAAAACGCAGGTGGATCAATGAAGCGGTGAAGTGTTACTGCGGTGTCTGTGGCGCTGCCCCCACCAGGTCAGTGGATGTAATGCGCCAAAGTGAGCGGAGTGGGATGTGTGAAGAGACGAACAGACGCAGAGTGAGTGACACCTTCAAAGAGGCGCAGATTTGATGGATTGATGCAGGAGTCCATGCAGTGTGTCACATACACACACATTTGAATCTAAGCCTGACACTGTTTTCACTGGTGTCTCCACTCCACTGACAACAAGGAGGCAACGAGACAAAGAGAGTGTGAAAGAGGGCGAGAGAGTGAAATTGAAGGTGCAGCTGCTGTGTGAAAATGGGATTGACAGGCTGCTTTGCACGACGAGGAAAAAAATACATGGTCACATAGTAATGCAGTTTATCCTCCTTGGGGCATCATGGAATCTACACATAGAGTTTATACAGATTTGCACGCAGGCCTTGAGGCATGGGTCACATGTTGACCAGCTTGACTCTTCTAAATGATGCATATATGTTGTTTAGTGGCGTGAAAGCAACGTCCTTTGCATGTCTAGACTTTCCTGCGTGACCCAGTTTGCCTTGATTTTTTACACATGAATAAAACATGATTTTTACTTACACTCACTGTGATTGTTTTACATACATGTATTGTTACACTTGAATGAGTACAAATAGAAGTCCATGTGTCCAAAAATCTCACAAAAAAAACACAAAAAATCCCTGTTCCCAAAAGCTCTCAGCATGTATTTTTGGCCTCAGTCACATCTTTAGATCAGCTTTCTTAAATATGATTCTTTCTGTTAGGAAAAGGAAAATTGCATTGATGAAACCACAAAAAGGTTAGGTAGTCCAGTTTTTACTTAATATACTGTAGAAACTTATTGGTAAAAGGGAAGAAGATGGTGGTGCACACCGGGGTAGTCTTGCACAGTTTTTTCAATGTGGTTTTACTGCAAATGGCAAATAAATGAATCTGAATCTGAATCTGAATCTGAGAAGATGCCAATGTGCGTTTCCTCCCTGAGTGACAAATGTTTCACTCATTCATACATAATTTATACATTGGGTTTAATGTACAACTCTAATTCATTGAGTCTACTGTTTATTTTTAATTCCTCATATATATGATAATAGGCTGGTGTTTGTGTCCCGTCATGCAGAAAGAGAAGCGTCCGATAGATGTGAGGTGCCGCAAGTTTCTAAAGTAACGGATACAGACTTGGCGAGCCGAGCAAGATCTGTGAATGCATGACAGGATTTTTTAATATTGATAAAAGGGTAAAACGTGTGTGGCATGTATACAAAATATATGATAGAGATCATTTAAAAGACACATTTTTCAAAATAAATAAAATAACTGCACTCCAATGGGTATACTGTATGCACTTGTATATACATACACACAAAGACATTTATGTAGATTTTTATTTATGCATGTCTTTGATTTTATTCTATTTTAACATGTTTGCACCAAGAGCCAAAGCAATTTCCTAGTTTGTGACTTCCTGTTACCCACATGGCAATAAAATGATTCTTTTAACCATCTCACTATATTGTGTTGTACAGATGGTTAAAATGAGCTGGAATGTACAACTCAAGTGAAATTACCTTCTCTGTAGTCATGGTTGGGCTTGCAGCTGGTAATTTTCAAATTTGGAAAAAAATAAAATAATCTTCATCTCTCTCTGCTGTATGGGTATAGTGCAGCAGCATTATTATCCCTTGGTACTTGTTTCACCAGTACATAAAATATATAGTATATATAATTGAACTCTGAACAATTGTAAAGCGCTTTGGGTGACGTCGGTCTGTAAAATGTGCTATATAGATAAACCCTACCTACTTACTTACAATTATTTTTCACACTGTCTTACTTCCAAACCCTGTGACTTTATTTGCAGCGGTGGCAACGTTTGGCAAGACAGTGTGCTGGATTTTTTTTTACTATTTTAGAGCATTTGCATGCATTCTCTATGCAGCTGTTTGAGACATGTGCAGACCATTCCTTTCATATTATAATACATGGAATGACAAAGCAAAGTGAATAATCTCATTGTAATGCATAATATTTCTTTAAATTATTTTTCAGAGTTAGAGCCAAAGAACCATATGAGCTAGTGCAACACATGGCCACAGTGGCGGTAGTGCTGAGCCTCGTTCATAGTCCTGATGAGTTGATCCTCTCTATAACATGTGTGAATGTGTGCACATCTCCAGAGATTGGGCATCATTTTGTATGTGCTAAAAAGAGGAGTGTCAGAGCGTTAAGAGGATGAGCTGTGGAAAGTGCAGCTAAAATAGATGGCTTGTGAAATTGAGACAGTACTACATTCAAATACTCTCTCACTCTATTAAATACTCCAGAGAACCAGTAAGGTCTGCTGTTTGTCTTTCATTTGCATCTTATTTATCCTTTCCACTCTTTTATTCACTGCCTCACCATCTACTTTCTAATTTTGCTTAGCTCTCTCCAATGCATACATAAAAATGGCAGGTAAAACACACATGAGCTGATGGTACCAAGTTTGAGGGAAATCTTCTAAATAGATGAAGCAAAAGTTGCAGAACACATTTGAAACCTGCTTCTAAAACTAGTTGCTTTTGTAAATGGTAGAGATGGCGACTCTTAGGGCTGATTACTCGTAATCAAATCATTTTTTGTTGTGGCTCCGTTTAGAAAATACTACCGCATACTCCACTATTCCTTTTTTGAAAACCAAAAAAGAAATAGGAGAAGCAAAAAAATCACCTGTATTTGGGAAATTGTCTCTTGATTTGAGTTTATTTTGAAGATTTTTCAATGGAGCAAGCAATTATCGTTCATTTTGTTGTTGGGCAGAAGCATAATTGTGTCATTTCATCTTTTTCATGTTTTATTTTAACTGTCAACATGTGCTCAACTTAGGCTTGACTACAAGATTTCTGTGAGAAAAGATAAAAACTACTTTTTCAAGTATGTATATAGTATGATATATAAAAATACAATGACAATAATATTCTATTCATACAAGAAAATGGTTGTACAATGGGTGAACTCATGTTCTAAAAACTGTGTATGAGATATGTAGGCTTTTTCAAATGCAACCAACAAGACTTATTAAACGTTGCAATGATGGTCAGGAATTTCACAATTTAACATGTTCCCATCATTGTGAAGCCCAAGAGACTGAGCAGAAAAGAGCAGGTATTTCACAAAATTGCAGAGAGGAAATCAAATATCTTCCCTTTTTTCCATGGAACGGCCACTGCTCTTTTCTGTTTGCCTCATGAGTCTTATAAGGTAAGCAGCCAACTCTCAAAGTAGTGCGGGAATTAGCTATTCATCCGAGCTAAAGCAAGCTGGCACACCCGGCATTTCCTTCTGTTCCAATGTCTCACACAAACACAGGCACAGCCGCGCTTACACTGGCCCTCTGCTGTATTATTCACTATTATCCTTCTGCTATTGTGATTTAAGGACACTAATCTATAAATAGATCTGGGCACAACAGAGAGGTGAATTATTAAGGCTGCTCCTCTTAATAGGGGTTTCCAATTTAATGTCAGAGGCTCAATAGGATACCGTGATTTATGGGTCAGTTAGGTCCAAGAAGGAAACGGAATTGTAGATGGAAACACACAAGAAATTAGAATCGAACGGCTTTTGGTGCGAAGATTAGCAGCATCTTTTCAAGCAGATTGCCAAAGAGAGAGTGAAATGAATAGTAGTAAGTAATCTTTATTTATATACCGCCTTTTCACTGCAGATCTGAGTCTCAAAGCGGTTTACAATTGTTAATTTTTTGGGCATTTGTCTCTCACTCCACACAGAGATGGGAGTGGGGTCGCCAGTACAGGAGGCGCATGCCAGAACTATTGGACATATTTTTAGTAGTAGGGGAAACCGGAGTACCCGGAGGAAACCTACGCAGACACAGGGAGAACATGCAAACTCCACTCAGAAAGGCCCTGGTCCGACCGGGATTTGAACCCAGGACCTTCTTGCTGAGAGGCGAGAGTGCTATCCACTCAGCCATTGTGCCGCTGATCTATCAGGTTACTATTTTATGAGGAAATATTTTGTGAAGAATTGAAACTAATTTGTAGGGGTGTAACGATACATATAGTTAATCGATGTGTCTCCCCTGCAATCCAGCTTCATCGATCGGCGCTCAGCTATTTGGCCTCGATTCTAGCCGCACATCGACACTATATCGTTTTAAATGGAAAAATTTTGATTGTATCGATATAGTTCTTATATTAAATTATAGTCACAACGTGCAATGGAATTATACATTCTTTGTTGTCTGAATGTTAATCTAAACAAATGTTATAGTTTTTCGCCCGTGTCAACAACAAGCCATTGCGGCGGCGCAGTAAATTTACGTCACAATCTCACAACAACAACATGGATAACAGCATCCAAAAAACAGTCACTGCGGTGCAAGAGCGGAGACAAAAAAGGTGCTGCTATTGTCAAAGTTCTATACGAGCTAAAGGCTTCAATATGTAGCACTAGAATGTACAGTGCTCACTGCTCAACAAACGTTTTGGACCACCTGTGATGACAACATAAAGAACTTTAGTAATACTAAATCAAGAACTTCAAATTAACAGTATCATTTTTATTTAATATTTATTCAGAAAATAATCAATTGGAATAACGAAATTGACTTATTTCCATCAAATCCAGGGTTAGGGTTACACTTGGTGGTGCTGTAAAACATTTGTGAAGCACTGCATTGTTATACATCTGTTTTATTATTTTTTATTCATGTGAGTTATTTATAAATTAGCTCTTGGTCAAAATAAATGTTATTGTAAAATTTGTAAAAAAGTTGTATTTCTTGTTCAGCACTTTAAATCTGAGTTAGATTTCTAAGTTTGAATTACTGTAATAGGTTTATTTACAGAAAAAGCCAATATTATTGTATCGATATATCGTTCAAAATCTACTGTATCATATTGAATTGTATCGTTTTAAAAATCATTATTATTATTATCAAAATGATTTGCTCTCCTATCGATACGGATCGTATCATTCTAAAAACGTATCGTTACACCCCTACTATTTTGGCAACATCTAAGAAATAATAATAATCTTATTTTCTTACTTCTGAACCACCTTTTGTGACAGATGCTACTAGTGGGGCTATTTCAGCAAGACAAAAAAATACGACTTTATTCAAGAAATACGAATAATCATAGGGTTGCATATAAAAACCTCATGAGAATATAGATCAAATCCAAATATTTTAGTTTAAAATGTCTCCAAATAAATAAACAGAGAAAGTGTAGCCTGTAGTGTAGTGCAGTCTGTGTGTATTATGAGAGATGTGAGAGAACAACAAACCAAGTGTTGAATCTTAATTGTCCCCACAGCACAAGTGCAATTAAAGAAATGAACAACATACATAATCAGGACAAGTTCAGACTCAGTATAATTGAAATGAATGAAATGGAGAAGATGTGCATAGTTGTAATTCCATGGACATTGATTGGCTGCACACACACTTGACTCTCCCTGAGCTCATAAAGCCATGTGTTTACTTAACACTGCAGACTTGAGTGCTCACTGGCCGACCACATGCGCTTGCACAAAATGAGTTTTCAGCCAGACGCTTCAGTCATTCAACATTTGTACTCACGCAAGACACGCATTTGCCAAGTGTCAAGCAGACATCATTACTGTTTTGGTCAAGAAGATTGTTGTTGATTTGTTTTTACCTTGCGGACATTTATCCAGTATCCAATGATGCGATCCGTGGCCTCTGGATCTCTCTGTGTCCATTGCAGATTGTAGGAATAGTTATTTCCTTTAAGAATGCGCACTGGATTCGGTGTATCAAAGTAGAACTCTGCATTATAAGGCTGGGCTGTGAACAAATGAACCGAAAACACATTACTCTCCCTCACCCTTTGAAAGACATAAACACCAAACAAAAGCTGAATATAAAATGCAGTGAACGTCTTTTTTTCTACATGGTTTGATGCTTTTGACTCACCGGAAACATTAAATGTGCATGTTGAGGTTCCGGCGCTGTTGCTTACTCTGCACTCATACGAGCCATTGTTGGTGGGTTCAAGCTTGAATACGAGTTGTGGGGTTTCCTTTAGATCAGGCATTGGCATCCGGATGATGTCTCCATTGCAGAACCAGCGGATGTCTGTGAGGCGTGGGGGGTTTGCGCGCAGATTGTTGCATCTCAGAGTCACGGTTTGGTCATTTCGGGAGCGCATATCTTGGTACACAGGGTCCAATATCGGAGGATCTGAAACACAATTGAAAAGCTGATGAGAGCTGCTATTTTTAGCGTGGACGAGGTGAAATCAGCAGCTCCAGCAGTGTCCAAATATAAAGCATTTTAGGAAAGGATTCAAAAACAATATTTTTGAACGTTATGTTTGTTCATGATGCTAACCTAACATCAACAAAATGAAGGAAAATTACATTTTTTGTTTTGTTTATGATGCTAACATTTCATAAATATGGAAGAAAAATAAGTTTTTGCAAGAAAGTGTAAAAACCAAAGGAAGTGACTAATAATGTTTAGACGATAAACATTACGATACTCCTTTTTAAGTAACAATGAACATTCTTTGTTCTACTAACAGTGTTATAATAACCAATGTTTTTTTGTTTGTTATTATTGTTGTTGTTCATAATTTCTTTTTCATTGTGTGATTGAAAGAAACTAAAAAACAATAAAAACGAGTTCCTGTTTCGCTTGTGTTGACACCACACACTCGTACAAACAGCAGCAGGTGGAATAGATGCATGACACCATATACAAACATAGCTCCTACGTCTCTGGGGCCAGGACTTTTCCAACATATTTCTTTGAGTAACAATCTCTCAAGTAGAGAGTAATGGACACCATTTGGCTTTTCTACGACTACTCATTTAAGTGGACTTTGATGGTCATTAGGTGTAGTTGTTCCTTTGGCATCCCCTCCCCTGTTTCTGCTTCACTTCTTCATTTCGCCATTGGCCTCTGACAGTAGCTCTATGTTCAATGGCCTTCAATAGGAACGCTCATTTCCAGCATTTGAACACGATGTCATTCACACGGTATGAGTGAGGAGTCCAAATGCAAACAAAGATATCTTCATTTAGAAATGTTGTTCCAATATTGTATTCCTCAAGTTGCAACCTTCAACACTTTGAACAACACTTGAAAGAATTTGGGGTGACATATTATTTGTATGGCACTAAAATAGATCTGGCTTTTCATAAAACCACTTGCTAAAGAGGATATTGTAAGCTATTCCAATATGTCTCCAATGACACTTTTTGGCAATGTTTTTGCAAATCAACTATTCAAGTACTGATAAATTCAAATGTGAGCAAACATGATCTGAGAAAGTCACACTGAAAGAGATTTTCAGATCGGCGCTCCTGCTATTTTTTGTCACATTTTGGAACATCCCAAACATGTGCGCAGTGTAGCTTTAACACATTTGTTTAATAAGATGACTTGAACAACATCGAAAGTGCAATTGATGATGATGAAGTGCTATTTATTACCATGACTAAAGTATATACAGTGTGTATTGCCCTTGATCGAGTTCAGATCCTGAAATCTGAAGAACATAAGACATTTTCCTTATGTTTGAATATATATTGCAATTGATAGGATGGCTTAAGAACGCATACATTTTATTAGGAGGTGGCTCATACTATTCCCTGTCCATTTCTTTCATATCACCTCACAGCACTGGCTTTTATTGCTTTCCTACATGATCTGACATGGAACAAATGTTAATTGCCAGAGGGCCCTCTCTTTGTGCTGCTAACCTAACCTAACCAGCCATAATTAACCTGTCAGTTCGACGCATGGTTCCCTAGCTAATAACTGAATAGCTGTTTCTGCCTCCACCCTGGGGTCAGCCGACGCACAACGCAGCCAAATTACTCCGCCACAAATCACAACCCACACGCGTCACCCCTGGCTAATCATGAAGATAATAGACAAGATGCTAATGGCAGGAGTAGGGAAGTAATGGTGACGAGATCTAGTGTTAAGGCCCCCCGAGGAGAGGCTACGCGACGGCAGTCTCCCATGAATCAGGTTCATCAGGCACAGTCGTGTAATTATAGACTAATCAATGTTATGTCTGCAAATTAGATAGAGATACAGAAGGATGCTGAGGAAGAGAGATGCAATAAGAAGTAAGCAACAAGGACACTGTCAAGAAATTCAGACCTACTGGAAAAGAACAGTGCTTTTTCAGACATTATAAACCATAGGGTACTTCCGTGGATCATTGTGAATGCATATGAGTTGCCCAACAATAACCTAACTACTCTGTATGCATCAGGGGCTCGATACAAGCAGTTATTCAGCTTGCTTTCCATGTAACAGGCCTGAGTGATTCAGTGGTCATAGGTCAGGCTTTAATCCCACCAGCTGATTAGTGTATGGTCACATATCAGCCACACGTACGCATAAGCATGTGGCTGACTTTGAATACATGAGGACACGATGATCCCTTTCCTCGTTGTGAATCTATAGTGTTATCCATATAATGTTCCAAAACCTTTTAGCTTTGCATTCAGCAGACATGAGAAGAATAGTGACAGTTACAGATACTCAGTTGTGACACTTTGTAGCTAGAGTCAAAATGGCGGATTCTCAAACAGTGAATAAATAAGTATAAATAATAATAAAAAATCCAACTTCAGTATTAATTGATGCATTATATGATCACTAGACTACATTGGCCAGGAGTGACCAGAATCAGCCAACTCTTATGTTGTGTTCTCTCATATCTCGAGAACACACTGGAGATGGCTTCAGAATGCCTTGGGAGTAACTTAATGAGCGGGAGGAAGATTGCTGCCTCTGAGACAAGGGAATGGATAAAGTGGAAAAATATATTGCTGCAAAAGATTTTCATTTGCAGCACTATTCTGCTTTTAGAATTTCCTCTTCTATGAGAAAGTTCCATTTTGGTTTCCCATTATCTCGATTCCAACCCATCACAACTTTTTTGAACCAATTTTCACTTGCCTCCCTTATGTTGTTAATCTTGGGCTGTCGTGATGGTATGCCTGATAAAAGGAAAGAAACACAAAAAACAAATCTAGTCGCGTTTTTACTTTTTTTCGCAAAATAACTCCTCCCGACTTCCTCTTCACCGTTGTAGTCCCATTGCAAGTTCAGACTACTCTGCTGCGGCAATGTGTCTTAGTCATAAGCCCATAAACCAAGTAAAGACACAACAAATCACTCTCATCTAAAGCGGCGAAATGGAATCCGTCCAAGAACGCAACACTGACCAAGCCAAACATTTACAGTACACAACAGCAAAATCAATTTACATGAGGCTCCGGGTGGAGGGGGGGGGGGCGAGGGTCTGCATGAAAAACACCTCTTTAGAAAGAAAGACAATAAAGAAGACAAATGACAAGGAAAGTGTTATGTGAGAGAAATGGAAGATGGAGTGTGTGTGGCTGCGAGAGAAGGAAAGGATGCAGGAAGCAAAAAAAAAAAAAGAGTGACAAGACAGAGAAGGGTCCCCTCCCATGGCCGGCAACTCGCTGATTGATGATGATGAGAACGGCAATGAGGAAGAACAGTCACTCCGCTTCGAGGGAAAGATGGCACTCAGCATGTAAAGGAGGGAGGAAAAGAAGGAAGGTAGGAAGAGTGGGAGGCATATGCACTTAATTATAATCTGCAATGAAAAATGATCTTATCCTGGGATTGATCAACAGCACTAAGTGGAGGCATCTGATGGACGATAGCGGATGGAATGAGCACAGAGAAGACGGTCACCACATTTTCGCTGCTGTTTGGTGTAAACGCCCTGGATCAATTCCCACATGGAGATGCAAGGCCCACAATCAGACACAATGACGAAATATTTTACAGAGACATCAGAATCCCAATTTGGAAAGCGTAAATGTATTCATGGACTACTTTTCCACGGTGTTTTTGTTTTGAGTAGCCCACACAAACCGTAATCTTGTTTGTCAGCAGCAGCCTCTTACTCACTTTGGCTCAAGTATTTAATTGAGAAAAAGAAATGCCTGCATGCATGATGTGAAAACCTCCAACTATAACACAACATTATTTACCAGCAACATTTTGGCCCCATTCTCATAAAAGTCCAATTAAAGTGGTGATTTGAATTGGGCTTTGGATTGGTTTAAACCACAGTGTATGATTTTACAATAAATCTGGACCTGATTATACAGCAATCTGTAGAAAAAGACTCGCTGTTTGAGTGCATTTCATAGTGCTGTTTTGCAAAACCTTGGGACTGGTTTTACTGGCTAACGAGAGATTACCTTTTAATTATTGCCAATCCGTGAAACATGAAGAAGTTACTTAAGCCTTTGAACGTAAAAAGCTCTTTGAACATGTTTTCTCTCATGTGATGTTTTAAAAAAAATACTGTTAATGTGTAAAAATGATAAATATAGAGATGGTACAGAGATGGCGTGACACATTTATCTGTTGCAATAGCGGAACCTTCATTTCTTATTTTTACACAACTTCCCAGCATATTATGTGTCACCCACTGAGTTGATGTGTTCTTTTTATTTTGCCTTCACCACTCTGTTACTGTCACAACAACCACATTCCAACTTGTCTAAGATCATTAAAGATTCATACAATCACACTAGACTAGATGAAACTAAGTATTTCACTTGAATTTCAAAGCCTGCGTCAGTATTTGATTCCCTGACTTGGATTTTGGCTTCCTGTTTCATGCAGAAGTGGTAAGCCCTTTTCCCCTTTGAAAACATAATACAGGTATACATTAATAGATTTTAAAAATGCAAGAAAGCGAGGTTGTTTTAACCCTTTAAGGATCACCTAATTTCGCCTGATCCTTCTTGAATTATGATACCCAAATGGAAATGCTTGCTGTGTGGACATCCTGTGTCTGATTTTGTGTTATGAGGCCTCATTTGAAAGGTAACACCTTCTAGTTTCTGAAAATGTATGTTACAGTTTGTTAGGAAGGACCCAGTCTGCACTACACCTTCTCAAACATGAGTCAAAGTTAGTTTTTTTTGTCAAAAAAAAAAAAGGCAATTTCAAAAGGTTCTCCTGAAGACATACTTTATGGTATGATGTTCAAACTCACTAGAGCAGATGTTTGTGGTGTTGGAAACACCTATATGAAATTTTAGACCTTTAGGTGGAACTATTTTGATGCTGGGGGCTTTTTTGTAACTAATGGGCACATTCGGCACAAGTGGTCCATTTTTGTGCCAACTGTGCCAAAGTGTTTTACATGCAAATTATCAATGTTTTTACACCAAAAATCCATTCATATAATTTTTTGGCTATTACTCTTGCTATAAATAGCATTTTTTCCAGATATTGAAATGTTTGCAGAAAAGTTATTATTTATATAGTTATAGCGCGTGTCCTCCTACAGGGAGGGTGATCCTTAAAAGGATTTTGCCACCTGTCCTCTTAGTGGTCAGCTTCTATGTCTGAGAAAGTGAATTTTTAGAAAACAAGAAAGTCCTTATTTTTGTTAAGACGAGAGGAGCAGTCCGAGTCCCTCTTCACAGCATGTACTTTTTTCCAATCATGGCCATTTTCTGTAGTGCCGTTTCCACTGAGAAAGATCTAATTTCAGATATCCCTGCATAATTTAGACTAAAGCCTTATGACTCCTCTCACTTCTAGTAGTAAAATCGCAGTGAGACTTACATTGAACATTTAGCTGCACATTCATCTCGCGCTTCTTGATGTTTAGTCCGTTGTAGGGCGCGGTCTGGCAGCGGTACACTCCCATCATATCTCGGCTCACATTCCGGAGCCTCAAGCGTCCGTCCGGAGACTCCATCTGAGACTTCCCGTTGGGCATTAGCAGGTCCTTCTCCATGCGGGACCACAGGATCGGAGGAGGGGGTTTTCCGTCCACCAAACACACCATGTCAGTGTTACCGCCTTCACGCACGCTCACCACCTGCCCACCAGGTGGCAGTGACAGGATCGGAGGAGTCACTGGAACAGAAACATAGACTTGCATGATTAAGGCCATCTCTAAGTGAAGGAGTTCTACGCTAGTGTAGCCCTGACACTGACTGACTGACACAAGGCTGGACTTTATTCAACACCATTCACATATTCATGAATGGTCAAACCAGGCAAAATCAGGAAATTAGAATATTGTTCAAAAGTCTATTTACTTCTGTAATTTAACTTACAATGACAGACTGAGTTTGTGTAAATTTGAATATATCAAGCCTTTCTTTGTTATAATGTTGATAATTGAGCTTGTAAAAAAACAAATTAGATACAGATACAGGCTTGGTATACGTCACTCTGCATGTAGGAGTCTTTATCAGACGCTGGTTTCACATTTGAAGTTGTATTACAGAAATAAATTAACTCTTACAATATTCCAATTACACCAATTTTCTCATTTTCACCTGTATTTAAGAGAGTGCAGTCTCAGAGGGTCTCACTGGTGTGAGGTTGTAGGTGGAAGAAGTGGCTTTCTCCCACTACGCTCCTTGTAAATGGAACGCACTGCCTAATGATGATACATGTGCACCGATCATGAGCTCATTTAAGGGTAAACGAAAGACTGACATAAATCTGTTCACTGCCCTTTGTGATTTGTTTTGTTACAATGTCTTTATAAAACACATTCAGTTGCAATACTTTATGAAATGTGCAACATAATTAAATCTTCTATATTGTAAAGTGACAAATCCATAAATATTGTTGATATTTTTGAATTGCAGTATGTGTTTGAAGGGATTGGAGCGGATCGGATTAATATAAGTGTTTTGCTTTGGCCAATCCCTTTCTTTGCTTTTATTATAATTTTTTTTGGTGAATATTTTTTTGTATATCTCGTGCATGTTTGACATATATAAACAAATGAAAAAGATGCAATGCCTCACCACTGTTCTGAGAGATGTTCATATCCACTCGGAGCTCGGGAACCCTGCTGCCCGGGAAGTTGGCAACACAGCTGTAAATGGCCAGGTCCCTGAACTTCATGTCGACGATCTCCAGACTGCTGGTGCCTGGGGCCATGTCGGGGTCGGACCTGAGCAGAATCAGGCTGTCCGAGTTAAACACCGGAGCTCCGTTCTTGTACCAGGTGTAGTTGACCTTGTCCTGGGGAGTGGCGTCCACATGACACGACAGCTTCAGGTCGCGGCCCATCTGAATGGACTCTCCATCTTTGTTAGAGTCGGGAGTGATCTGGAAGGTCAAGTTACTCATAGCTGAAAAAGAACAAGATAATCATATTAGGGGTAATTGAGAAAGTTATGTTTTTCTGTTTCTCATTTGTTTAGAATGTTCTTTATTTCCTGTTTGTGTTTTGAACATTTGAAATCAGCTGAACAAACACAGATCCTAATCGCCAGTGGACTTAAAAGCAAAAGCACATACTTCAGAATCTCTGTGCAAACATTTAGTACAAGACCTTTTTGGATTGGAGAGCTACTTTTATAAAACTGAATTTTTTTTTGCAGAGAGCTACCCCTTTAGCAGACGTAACAAAATTATAGTCTGTAATGACAACAGACAACAGACAGAACACAAATGCTTAAATTATCCTGAATGATCCACTTCAATTATATGTGTTACCTTCTTGATTCCTTTGGGGAGCTCCCTGAACGGGGATGGGGAGCCACAGATTGGAGACCCCTTGATTTAGTATGCGTGCGTGTGTGCATGTTTGTGTACACCCTTTGGCTCCCAATAGACCTTTTAGCGATATATATTATATGTTGCAAAAAGTTAAAATGAGAATACAAATAGCCATGTAAGGACAAAGTGTAAAATAGACTTGAGCAAGGGTACAGACTCACAAACAGACCCATGCAAAAAGCACACACACACACATACACACACACACACACACACACCCCCCCCCTGCAAAGTGGCACAGAAGAAGTGGAGACGGCAGGAGCAAAGTGAAAAGGGAAGAGACTAAAGCCAACTACACAATGAAATAACAGGGAACAGAATCAAGGACAAAGACTAACTCTCACACTGCCACATTTAATCTGTGCTATCAAAGGCAGTGCTTCCCTCACACGTCTCCATGTTGAATACCAAACAACCTCATGTGAGACCGGCCTCAGTGACAGCCAGGGGAAGTTCGCCTCTGCTGTGGGGTTGTTAACAAGTGGAGATACTTTGTTTGGGCTTAAACCAATCCTGAAGATGTTAGCTCTCTGTATCTTTTGCTTTCTAAGTTGCAAATAAAATCTGTGTGTGAGATAGTATTTACACATGCTGGGGACTAAAATATGAAACAGACGCGTGCATTTGGTGTGAAAACCGCTAACGATTATACATGATTATTGACCAGCAACATCTTGACCCCATTCTCATAAAACTTTGATTATGCGTTCATTCGTCCGTATCATTCCTCAGGCATTTTGGGTTATACCGTTTATCCTATAGGCACCTTTCTGATGTGCAAGGTCTCCTCCTCTTGCTTCTTGTCTAATTTATGAAAAAACATATCTGTGCATACGTGCGGTTGTGTGTGTGTGTACGTATATGTGTGTATGGGTCTATATCTGCATACAGGATGTGTTTGTGTGTGTGTACGCTAATTTGTGGATGGCTGTGTGTGTGTGCGCGTTTTGCATGTCTCCCACCTGTTCTGTGAGACGATGCGTTCAGGACCATTAAGTAACAGGAGAAGCCCATTCGGCATATGCTTGCACTACTGTGTCTACTAACATAAGAGACTGTTGCTAATTGCTTCCTCTTCGGTGTAACTAATTGGAGTGAATAACAATGATTAAAGAGGCTAAAAAAGCCAGAAGGAGGAGTATGGAGGGATCCTGAGATATAATGGCAGGCATTTATTGAAAAGAACAAAAAGAACATGCCCATCCTGACAGCATGAAGAGGACTCGCTGCACTCACCACTAATGTTCACATATGGCCATCGTCTAATGAATACACTGTAGAATCAGAACGCGTGATAATTATGAGGATGACTTGGTCTGTCTATCTATGGCGGATTTCTGTTGAATAGATTCTGTGGTCAATTTACACTGACAATTTTTAAAATTACCATAGAATCATTGTTTCTGTTCAGAACTAAACGTTGGGGGGCTGCATTTCTGCTGCTAAAATCTGGAACAATCTTCCTGAAAATGCGAGACAGGCTGGGGCGACAGTAGCTCAGTTGGTAGAGATCTGGTCTTTGGACCTAATGGTCGTGGGTTCGAATCCACCACAACCCTGTCTGCTGTTGTTGTGTCCCTGGGCAAGACGTTTAACCCCACATTGCCTGAAGCTCCTGCTGAAAGACCAAGGCCATGTCTTCAATGATCGGCGAGAGACTGATGCATTGAGACTTGGGTAGCTCTGAGCTCTGATTGCCCCCTCACTGACAATGTTTAAATCCAGGTTGAAAACAGCTCTGTTTAGCTGTGCATACAACTAAGGGATTTTGTATTTGTATCTTTATTGATTGACTGCGGAACCTTCCGCAGTCAACCATTGGTTTTGTATTTCTTTATTCCGTCATTTTTTTTGACACGTTTCACAGCTTTCACATTTTCAACAATTTCCACAAGTTATACATCAAAACGTTCCACATGTTTGGGAGATTATTGCTATTACTTTTGGGACTTCAGCGATTTCCGGTTTTTCCGCAATCGGACAAAAATCTGCATTGAGAATTCTGCAATGCATTTTAATAGGCCCATGCATTTTAATAGGACTTCAGCTCTTTCAGACATTTCTACAGTTTCAATGATTCAACAGTTTCAAGGATTCAACAGTTTCAAGGATTTCAGCAGTTTCAAGATTTCAAGAGTTTCAAGGACTTCAACAGTTTCAAGGACTTCAGCAGTTTCAAGGACTTCAGCAGTTTCAAGGACTTCAGCAGTTTCAAGGACTTCAGTGTAATTATGCAACCTAATAGGGATTTTTCCATGTAAACCAGTATAATGCAACTTAATAGGATTTTTCCATGTAAACCAGTATAATGCAACTTAATAGGGTTTTTTTCATGTAAACCAGTATAATGCAACTTAATGGGATTTTTCCATGTAAACCAGTATAATGCAACTTAATAGGGGTTTTTACATGTAAACCAGTATAATGCAACTTAATAGGTTTTTTTTCCATGTAAACCAGTATAATGCAACTTAATAGGGATTTTTCCATGTAAACCAGTACAATGCAACTTAATAGGGATTTTTTCATGTAAACCAGTATAATGCAACTTAATAGGGTTTTTTTCATGTAAACCAGTATAATGCAACTTAATGGGGATTTTTCCATGTAAACCAGTATAATGCAACTTAATAGGGATTTTTCCATGTAAACCAGTATAATGCAACTTAATAGGGTTTTTTTCATGTAATCCAGTATAATGCAACTTAATGGGGATTTTTCCATGTAAACCAGTATTATGCAACTTAATAGGGATTTTTCCATGTAAACCAGTATAATGCAACTTAATAGGGATTTTTCCATGTAAACCAGTACAATGCAACTTAATAGGGATTTTTCCATGTAAACCAGTATAATGCAACTTAATAGGGTTTTTTTCATGTAAACCAGTATAATGCAACTTAATAGGGATTTTTCCATGTAAACCAGTATACAATGCAACTTAATAGGGATTTTTCCATGTATATAATGCAACTTAATAGGTTTTTTTTCATGGTATAATGCAACTTTTTTTTACATGTAAACCAGTATAATGGAACTTAATAGGGGTTTTTACATGTAAACCAGTATAATGTAACCTAATAGGGGTTTTTACATGTAAACCAGTATAAAGCAACTTAATAGGGATTTGTACATGTAAACCAGTATAATGCAACTTAATAGGGTTTTTTCATGTAAACCAGTATAATGCAACTTAATGGGGATTTTTCCATGTAAACCAGTATAATGCAACTTAATGGGGATTTTTCCATGTAAACCAGTATAATGCAACTTAATAGGGATTTTTCCATGTAAACCAGTATAATGCAACTTAATAGGGTTTTTTTCATGTAATCCAGTATAATGCAACTTAATGGGGATTTTTCCATGTAAACCAGTATTATGCAACTTAATAGGGATTTTTCCATGTAAACCAGTATAATGCAACTTAATAGGTTTTTTTTCATGTGAACCAGTATAATGCAATTTAATAGGGTTTTTTTTACATGTAAACCAGTATAATGGAACTTAATAGGGGTTTTTCCATGTAAACCAGTATAATGCAACTTAATAGGGATTTTTCCATGTAAACCAGTACAATGCAACTTAATAGGGATTTTTCCATGTAAACCAGTATAATGCAACTTAATAGGGTTTTTTCATGTAAACCAGTATAATGCAACTTAATGGGGATTTTTCCATGTAAACCAGTATTATGCAACTTAATAGGGATTTTTCCATGTAAACCAGTATAATGCAACTTAATAGGTTTTTTTTCATGTAAACCAGTATAATGCAACTTAATAGGGTTTTTACATGTAAACCAGTATAATGGAACTTAATAGGGGTTTTTACATGTAAACCAGTATAATGTAACCTAATAGGGGTTTTTACATGTAAACCAGTATAAAGCAACTTAATAGGGATTTGTACATGTAAACCAGTATAATGCAACCTAATAGGGATTTTTCCATGTTAACCAGTATAATGCAACCTAATAGGGATTTTTCCATGTAAACCAGTATAATGCAACCTAATAGGTTGCATTATACCACCAGACCAAGACCCAAACGAAGACTCAGACCACCACCAGATAATGACCACAGACCAGGTTTCCTTAGTTACAGGAACCAAATTGTTTCAGCGGTGAGGGGATTTTTCAGTTTCAAGGACACTTTCAATACATTCAGTAGTTTCAAGGATTTCAACTGTTTAAGAATTTAACCAGTTTCAAGGATATCAGGAGGTTCAAGGATTTCAGGAGTTTCCACACTTTCAACAGTTTCCAGGTTTAAAAAAGTTTCAAGGATTTCAGGAGTTTCAATGTTTCAACAGTTTCAAGGATTTCAGGAGTTTAAAGGTTTCAACAATTTCAAGGACTTCAGGAGTTTCAAATATCTATCAAGTATTTTAACAGTTTCAAGGCCTTTTAAAGGATTTCAAGGATTTTTTTTAGCAGATTTCCACATTAGATCTGTTCCGCAGTCAATCGCAATGGCTTCAGCCATTGCAAGTTTCTAGTTTTTTATGTGCTGTGATTGTTATGATTTTAATGCTCTAGTCTTGTTCAGCACTTGAGTTGCCTTGTGTATGAATTGTGCTATACAAATAAACTTGCCTTGCCTTTGTGATTGAAAATAAACGTATCATCAACAAGTTGAATATTTTTATTGTACGTATGCACTTACATCTCACAACAAGTTGGACATTCTTGCGTGCCGGGTTTCCCACGTTATTGACGGCTGAGCAGTTGTAGAAGCCTGCGTCCGCTGGAGTCACAGCCCTGAGGATCAGCGTGGGGCCTTTGAGCTGAGCGCTGAGGGGGAGGGGCCCTGGAGAGCGAGACCATGTGACTGTGGGAGAAGGGAAGCCCGCAATGACCTCGCAGGTGATAATCACATCCTGCCCTGGATCCACCACCACTGTGTCATTCACCGACATGCGGATCATCGGAGGAGCTGCCAAACACAAAAGAAGAATCAACAAAACAGCCATTAGTGCAAAGAAATCACTAGGAAAGTCTGGGCAGGAGAGATCCAGGCTCTCATCCATAAAACAGTGTACTGCAGTGTGATCATGCACACATCGTTCTTCGACACAGATATTGCCGAAGACATGTAGAAACTTGTCTCCCATCAGTCACCTTGCTGCCAACAGATTAAATGTGCTGTATTTGAATATAACTATTTGATGTTAATTCAGATTGCTCTACTATAAGATTTCTATACCAGCCTCCACACACTTCCTGGATGTGTACAAAAGCAAAACCAGAGACTTCTGCAGCCATGATCCTGCCTCAAGCCCCGCCCAGTTCACCGAATAAGGACATGCAATGTGTCAGATCCTCAAACCTCATTCATATTTCTGTCCCCCATCTGAAGCTGAAGGTGTGATAAGCTGCATTCTCAGACGATGCTCCTTGTAAATGGAACATACTGCCTCTTGATGCTAAATACAGTATGTTCCGACCCTGAGCTCATTCAGGTGAAGACTAAAGACCCACTTATTCAGACTTTTCCTGAGGCAGTTTTGTTGCCCCTTCACTGCCTTTTTGTGATGCATCTAAATACATACTGCAGTTTCTTGTTCCTTGCAAAGTGTAGTTTTCTGTACGAAATGTGGTTAGTGAAATTTCTCTCTGAATGAGAAACTGAATGAGCAATAAATTGTGGAAAGCATTTGTTTAAGGGCACAAAAGCAGAGTCTGTTCAGGGCTCCGGCAGCGTGTCTTGTTGTACGAATGACCTCACAACTCAAGAACAGGATGACCCCAAACGCAGCTGCACTGGGGAAAAAATCCAGTTCTAGACAAAGATCGATTCAACACAAAGTGGTTTCAAAATACAACGAGAGCCCGAGCGGGGCAAGCGCTACGGTCCATACATAACAGTGGACAAGGGGAGCTGAGAGAGCATTTTCCTTATTAACTGCGCCTTTGAATGCACAAGGAATAAGAAGTGTAATTGCCTCTTGAACACATGGCTGGTAATCACAACTCTGTCGTGAGAGAAAATTCTTACAGAAAAGGTGAAAATTATGATGAAAATGTGATTTCTTTTTTTTTCTGAATAACAATACACATTTAAGCTGTGAGGATTTAACTATGATTTGCACGTCTTTAGCACCTCATTTGCTGCGAGTTCCTCTCTTCAAACTGTGACTCCAATGGACCAACAAAGCGACTGTAATTCAGAGGTTGTTTACAGTGTTTTGTAACCTCGTGGCAGCAACACCGCACACACAAGAATTCAAGGAGCACAATCCAAATATACAAATTTAGATCGTTTTATAATTATAATTGAAATTGTATATTTTAATGAATGAGATTTTTTTATTCTTGTTCAGATATGGGTCAGGTATAAAAAGAAAAATGAGGAGAGACAGGCGCAATTATCCGCTGGAGCAAGACACAAGGGGAAAATAAAAATAACACTTGTATTATAGAAGAATATGAGAGAGATGTGAATCATAATGCAACATCAGCCTGGATGGATCTGGAAAAGGAAGATCAAAGCCACCGCAGCAGAAATGTCTGAGAGCACATGTGACAAGATTGGCTTTTTCAGTTTATTTCCAAATGTATTTATCCATCCAGCCATTTACTTTTGTTGTATTTGTCGCCGGGCCCACAGTCCAAGCAGAGACACCCAGACTTCACTATCAACACACACATCCTCCATCTCCAGGAAAAGGCGTTCCCAGGCCAGCTGAGAGACACGTCCCTCCATCGTGTCCTTGCTCTTCCCCAGGGTCTCCTTCCTGTGGGACCTGCCCGAGTCACATCCCCAGGGAGGGATCCAGGAGGCATCCGTAACAGATGTTCGAGCCACCTCAACAAGCTCCTTTCAACAAGGAGAAGCAGCGACTCTACTCCGAGGTCCTCTCGTGTGACTGAGCTCCTCACTCTAGAACTAACGCCTAACACTGAGATTTGACTATTTGTCAAAGTCTCCATTACCGGAGAGAGGAACCACCTCAGTCTGTCACTCCATTGACCCTGTGTCCTGTTGCAGGACCGTGTCAGTCATCACAGTCCTACAACATCCAGAGACTTAAGATAATCAAGACGTATCTCCTCTTCTACAGAGGAGAATGCCTACAACCTCAGTGACTTCAGCAAGGGAGATGGAAAAATCTGTCCCACAATCTCTGACTCCAAATCTGAGAACCTGATGGGTTGAGTCCACAGCCGGGTTTGGGGATTGCAGCCAGAACCAGCACCAGAGCTATTGCGCCCACAGCTATGAACTGCTGCATTGCTGATAGAGGTGGAGAATGTGGCCCTCCTGTTCCTCGTCCCAACAGCCAGATGCTGTGTGCGTGAACTGTGATCTATGCCTCCCAGCTCGATCCATATACTGTATTTATATGTATTTATTCCCATTCATTTATGAAGTATATTTTTACTTATATGTGTGTTTAGTGCATATTTTGTATATATTAACACCTTATTAAAACACTACAGCTTCATGTGTGCTGGCTATTTCACAGAAGATTTTTTCACAGAAGATCAGTTTGAATGTTATGGGTCTCAAAATAATGTTGTTGTCTAATGTAAAAGCCAAATACAAACCATTTTAAGAGTATTTATAAGGAGGTTTTCTCAGAGGAACCATATGATTTAGAGTTTTTCCTACTTTCTGTAGCTCTGACTACTAGAGTATAGAAATCAATCAGTGGCACGTTAAAATGTGATTTTGCAGAAGTTGCCCCAGGGGGTAAATGGGGTGAAGAGGATAACTTTGAGACAAATGAGCTCATGATTAAAATGTCACCTGCACCACTTCCCTAAGGAGGCTCAGAGAAATGGTGAGATCTAAAGAAGGCCCCAGTCCACATCAAGTACTGTCACCCACGCACACCCAGCGCACCAAAGGCCACATGCTCTTTTGAAATGTATTGTTTCATTTATTGTTTTTGAGTTTTAATGTTATCAACAAATTACTTCTGTGCTAGAGTCTATCCGTGATGAAAACAGAACACATTCCAATGTTAAATTCATTGCTCAAACCACTTGTCCCACCCCTTATTCGAAAGCTATTGTTTAGTCATACCAAACATTTAGCAAAACTCTAGCTCAAGGCAGAGGCAGACATGTAAAAAAAGCATTATGAAGTGTTTGATTTTGCGCATGTATTATGTTTTTTTTGTGTGTGTGTAAACTCTGGTATTTTTGGCACTTGTATTAGATGAGAAACTAAGGTTTAAAATGTTCCACAGCTTGTTGGAATTGAAGACCAAAACACGTGCCATGAGCAGCAGACCGCTCATGAAAATGGGCCGCCCACAGTTCGACTGGGGTGAAGAGGTTGGGAGAGTATCCATTATGCCCAATTAGTGGTCCGATAAAGTCAATACAACTACAGTCCAACTTTTATTGCCAGAATCTAAGAAAATGAATGAATCTAAGAAAAGGAATGAATCAAATAATGCATAGTGCAACATAGGGCTGGGCAATAAATCGAATTTAGGCAATTAATCGGCTTATGAAAAAAATCTGATTTGGGAAAAATGTGAAAATTGTGAAATTGAATGAAGGATGTTGTGAGAGTTCCATAAGCACATGAATTATACTTGCAATATCAGCACAGTCTGTAAAAGACTTTTCTAATACGTATTGGAGGAAAAAAATTAAAAATAGTTTTGAATATTGTGCGGAAAGATTAAAACATATTTTTAAGGGAAAAGTCTGTCTTTGGTGACTTTAATGAAAATCGATTTAAAATCTAAATCGTCCAAAGCAGGAAATAAAATCGAGATTTTACTTTTTGCCATATTGCCCAGCCCTAGTGCAACATGCAGAAACATACTGTACATGTAGCCAGTTACAGAATGATTAATGCCTTGGACACCAGTATTATTCCACTATTTACACAGGAGTTTACAATTTCATCTACCCAAACGATTTAAATCCGTTAACTTACGTTTGCATGACATCACCCCATTTACTCAACACATAAACTAACAACACACAAGATAGTAAAGTGAAAAGAGGATCCAAGCCAAGAGACAAAGAAAAAAAGGAATAGTTTGAGTCGAGCTCGAGAGGCGCGGTGGATTTGAAAATTATAGCTTCAATTTCCCAGGGCTGCGTGGGTGACGTTAACGGTGGGATCAGCCAGCGCTCTTCCCAAAGTAATGGGATTTATGTGCAGCACAGCGGTTTACAACCAGGTAACAAATGCCTCTCTCTCGCGCATAGACACCCCGCTTCTCCCCCGTCCTTTCTCCCTCTGTCATTTTGTCACCTTTATATCTTCAATATCTGTCTTTTTTACCTCCCTCTGCTGCTCTTTCTGCTTCTTGGTGAGTTTTTGGGGCTGAGGACTTGCTTGTTCCCTCAGTATAACGCTCAATAAATCTGTTTTTGAATGGCTTCATCAGATAAAGGCTTAACTTGGAGGAGATGGTGTTGGCAAAAACCTATGTATTCTGTGAGTCGATGTGCAGCTTTGCAAATGTCTAAGTATGTTGAATAGTTGATGGGAGAAGTTAAATAGAAAATTCCAATGTTTGCTTTGGTTATAAAAAAAAAAAAGTAGGTATATCTCAGATCCTACCATTTTTTAAAGAAGGGCCCTTTCTATCCAATCCCATTTACAGTAAATAGCAAATCTTATAAACAAACAGTTTCAAATGGGCTATAAATTACAAAACACTGTCAATTAGAATAAAAAATAAAGACATTGACGAAATAGGATGACTGCAATTGCTATATATGTGGTCTGGACCTCAGCTCAAGCTCCTTCAGCAGGTGCAGAATGCTGCTGCTCGCTTGCTCACGGGGGCACGTAAGAGAGAGCACATCACCCCTGTGCTGGCCTCACTTCACTGATGCTTGTTTGTAAATGTTTAAATGCTTATCTGTCAGAGCTGTAATCTCTGTATGCTCCTGTCAGATCAGTGAGGTCTAAAAACCAGCTTTTGTTGAACGTGCCCCGTTCTCGTCTCAAAACTC